TTCCCTCTAAGCTGCACAAAAGCGAAATCCGAAATCCGCCGGTGCCCCTTCGTTTCCTCGGAGCGATAACCCCGGCCCTCCCGCCGCCACCGCCTCCTTCCTCGCTCTTTACCCCGGGCTTGACCTACTACAGTGTGCTCTACTTGAAAGGCGTTTTTATTACTCGGGCGAAGGATATTTAAAGTGATCAGGCCTGCGTCCTCAGGCCCGAGGCATTCTATAAACAGTGCATTCATGTCTCACTTTACTTCCTCCTCCTCGTCCTCCTTCCACGCACGGTTGTATTACGTCTCATTATGGCCTCTCCTCCCGCCCATCGCCGGCGCGCACTCCACGCCCCGCTCGTAGTCTTTTGTTTCTCGCTCGTGATTATTTGGAGAAAGCATTCGATCCTTCGCTCAGGTGTCTGGCCCGCCACTTCGGCATCTTGCTCGCCACTTGAAACTGCTCTTAACCTCCCTCTCTACAAGGCTCACACCTGGCCCGCAAAATAAACAGAGCGACTCTTTGTATCCATCATATAAGTCTGGCGAAGACCGTATGCGTTGTATAACCTGTCGTCTGGAGCATTTATAGTACCATCTGGACCTGTAACTATCACCAGCTGAGTCATGTCGGTACCATCTGGGACTCGTAGATGTAACTCAGACTGACTATCGCTTTAAACCTGAAGCAGACAAGCATGATTTCAGGGCTGTTCATTCACATCTTTGCATTGCATTCGGTATTTGGCGATAGCATCACTGCGAATATCTTGTAAACATTTCCATAAGGACGCCACAAATATCCAGGCGACACCAGAACTTTCACGTGGACTCACTGATAACCATCAAGGCTCTATAACTTCCCAAGACCTTGCGTTTTGTTGTTACAACCAAGACACGGAAAGTACATTCACCGCACCGGTCTGATAATCGCTATCTGATCGCAGCTATGAACCACGCTAAACGGCCGCCATCTGATGAGAGTAATTCTTGTAGCTACTCTAGGAACCGCAATGCCTTGTGCGAACGTCTTGCGTCATACGACAGGAATACTGAGCAGATCTGATACTGTGGATAAGGAGGTCTCACTATTTTGTCACTTAGCAAAGGAATAAAGAGAAAGACATTTTCATTTTAAGGGGATACACATTGCCATATTATTATTACTATTATTATTATTATTATTATTATTATTATTATTATTATTATTATTATTATTATTGGTCCTGTTTTTGTTGTTGTTGTCAGGTGAGAACTTTGGATTATTATTATTTTTATAATGATTTCTTTTATAGTAAATAGATCTTGGCCATGTCGCAGTGATGGTTACAGCAAAAGGAGATAACATAGTTTCTTATGTGTTTGTGGAACTTCGTTCGCCCATTATAATGAAGGACGCTCCCTCTCCTGCTTATATACGTTTGTATACATTTGCATATGCTTAATTGTGTTGCGAAGGAGCCACATCTAAGAACATTTCAAGAACATGTGTTTGTCGCCGAGGTAGCACAGCCAAACCTCCTCCTCGTGACCGTGGCTCCGGTTCGCCCCTTGGACGAGTGGCCCTTTTCCTTGGCTTCTGCGACAGGATTCCGGCTGTTCTCGAGAAGGCTGGACGCGCCAGGTGGAGAGAGGGATTAATGCACCCTCTGGGAGGCCGCCCCGTGAAGGAGTGAGCAGATCTAATAGTCGAAGTTACTGCAAGAGAAGTAAAGAAAACGAAATCCAGACATTTCTGCCTCAGGCGGTGGAGCAGCAGCCTAGACATCTTTTTTCCATTTTTCTGAATCAATTCAATACAAACAGGTGCCTGATTATGGGCTGTGACCCTTGTGAGAGTTGCCACGGAGGCCGCCCGCAAAGCCAGGCAGCACAGGGATCACACACACCCAGAATCCTTATACGGCCAAATTGGACGTTCGGTATGGCCGGCTCCCGCTGGGCGTGTTTTGAGGACCTGTTATAGTTGTTGCGTCTTCTGGGACGCCGCAATGAATGGCCCAGTCTTCCGCGGGAGCCTGGCGCTTGGAACTCGTGCTTGGGGCAGGAACTTTGGTATTTCGAACTCCCTCTTTATTTGCTTCTGCTGCTGCCATAAACATGTTGCAATCATATGATAGATTTGAAAATCAGAGCAGATACCCGCTAGGTTTCTAGGCTATCGCCATGGTGAGTGGAAATACAACGTTGTCTTCAAATTGCCCAGCATTCCGTCGATAATCGTCTAATTTTGAGTTAGTGGCAAGTACTTACGATAATGTTAGCATTCTGATTTTTTTCTTCCCGTTCTCATTCTCGCTTCTGCCACTCGGATAGTCACTTTGAAGAGTAGTTAAGGCAGAACAGTTCTGCATTCCGCCGGTGAGACATCTCGTGCATTTCTAAACCGACTTTGCTTTATACGTTGGTGGAAGATTTGGCAAACTGTAATCTCCCTTCGCTGTGCTTGCACGATCAGCATTACTTGCAATTTTAAAGGGTTTCACTTTTGTCATCGAGATTCGACAAAATGCGCTCGAAGTGTTCTGCTGACGTAAAAGCCTAATTATGGCGCGCATCCAGTCGTTCGCCGCCTGTTTATGATAATGGATCGCAGGAGGCTCTCCCTACCCTCCTCTTGGGTCTGCTCATGCGCAGGTGCAGGGATCTCCAGATTGACTTTTTCCTCGGCCGCGATTTGCTTCCTTTTATTAACACCATAAATTTAAAAGTCAGACAATTTCGTTTTACGCTCGGGATTCTAATGAATGAAGATTGCGTTTGAATCGGCCCCCCGGTGTGGGCGGGATGTTCCAGGGTCCCCGGCTAATGCTGATGAATGACTGCCATCTAGCGAGTATCGCGGGAGGTAGAGGCAGCCTCCGTGTGCTCCCTGCCATGAATAACTAACTCCGAAGCTTGAGGTCTTGGATATTTTCTTACATAAAGACGCAGTCGGTCGAATAAGTCTTTCGGAATACATTTCATATATTCCGTAGATGACGAGCGACGAGCGAAAACGGATGCAAGTGAGAACGAGATAGGAGATAGGAGAGGCCATGAGCTGCCTTCTCCCAGGCACAATATGCCGTGTGTGAGCGAAGATTCAGTGCGAAAAAGGCCTCCATGTGCCCCGACCTTCGCCATGGCTGTCTCGGGCGCGGCAAAAACGGATCGAACCAAAATGCCGAAGGTAACTCGTTCTCCCGTGAGGAATGTTTCCGGCCAGACGCGACACTTGTCTGCCGTGCCGGGGTCGTAAACATGTTGGGAGTCTTCATCTGTCTGTCAGCGTCGGGATCCCTTTCACTCGCAGCCAAATCTAGGACTTCGAACCTGACTTCTGCATCCGCCCGGGACTTCCTTCCCAGCACATTGGCTGCCTCGTAAGCTCTTGCTGAGGAAGCACAAGGAATTATATCAGTTAGACTCGACAGATGTATTATGCTTCGCGGCGCAGCCACCAGCGGCTTTGCCTTTCACCCGCGCGCGACCTTTGGCCCGGCTCGGTGTGACCCGCACAACCTTGCCTCTGGAAAGGTTCCTGTCGTGTCGCCGAGGAAGGAGCGACAGAATCCCTTGAAAAAAACGCTGATGTATATTACTTGACCATTATCTTCATGGAATTCCACCTGATATTCATGGGAGGACTCTAATGCCAAAGCTTTAATGATTAAAGAGAGTGACACAGGGCCTCGAAAAGCTACGGAAGGCAGCAGGTGGCACGCACAGACCGCCACCTGACGACCCTACTTCAGGCCATTGTTTGTCAGCGTGAAAGCTCCTGCCCGTTACTCTACGCTGGGAAACCTCTCGCTATTATTTCTTAGTTCGGTCTGTCCAGGCGCTTCCAACCACGCAATCTACATTAGTGAAAAATCTTATATATTTGATACATATGATGAGATGTTTATGTTTAAGCTTATCGCGGCGTTCTCCTGTGAGAGCGCCAAGCACACGACGGAAATGGCATTTCCACGACAGAAAGTCAGGTAACCACGGAATAAGAGCGGAAATCCCAATAAATGATGAAAACATGCACAGTGTGTGTCAAGTGGAAGGGTAAACGGCTTTCCTTTAAACAGAGGTCCTGCTCAAGCCATTTACAAGGAGGTGCGTGGCGTCAGGGGTGACGAGGCACCTCCCGCGGCCAACTGGATGTAACCGCGTCAGGAATTTCGATCGGGAGCGCGCGACCTCCGCATTTCGGAAGGTCATGACCCCCTGACATGTGGCAGTGGAAGGGGGGGGGGGGTGAATGGCAGAGGCTTGGATCTGCGCGAAGATGGTGCCTCAAACTTACCCTGAGTTTGACTTTCCGAACTCTCCCTGAAGAACGGCGCTTGCATTTCACGCTTATATTTCGTCTTCGTAGTGTGGGAGGAGTTGCAGTTTATTGAAAAAGAAAAATTGAAGATAAATTTATTGGTACAATTCCTGATCAGACAGTTATCTTATCATTGCCGTAATAGCGAGTTGTTTCATTTTTATGCTTCTCATTCTCGTTTCTTGCACGCTCATGGTCCGCTTTGGAGCTCTTATCAATATATTTCTTTTTTCCAAGACTCACTTTGCGACGTTTTTTATGTCATCGTTGTCAAGTCCTACAGCACGATCATTATTTAACCGTTGGGTTCGAATTTTGAAAGTCTTGCAACAACTGGTTTTCTTATACTAGCTTTTGTGGCAGATGCTTTACATAAACATGGCGGGGAAGTTGCTCCTTGCTCGGAGGTTATGGGGTTTGGAAGCATTTCGCCAGGCAGAAAGAATTCAGCTCTTTTGTGTAAGATTTCTTTTTGCGAATGTCTTGGTCTAGAATCACAGGTGTTGAATGTGTTTATACCTGTTTTTATCTATAGTTTATATTGACTGTAGTAGTTGATATATTTATATGCTTAATCTAATTACTCTGTCGTGATTACGCCAGTTTTCGCAATCAATACAAAGATTGCATTATTCTGCAATGACTATGAATTATCAATGTCATCATCGTTATTGCAACTATATTAAAATCCTTGTTTTTTCTCCTTGCAGGTTGTCGACTGCCTCTACGCCCTCGGCGGTCTTGTGAGTAGCCAAGAGGTCGTGTTGTTTGGCTTTGGCGCCGCGTCGGGGTCTTTAGCTTTTGAGAGGCATCACTCAAGCGTAGCGGCTTTCTTATTATTTAGCTTTTATTAGTATTTTTATTGTTCTTGTTGTTATTGTTATTATTATTATTGTTATTATTATTATTATTATTATTATTATTATTATTATTATCATTATCATTATTATCATTATTATCATCATCATTATCATTATCATTATCATTATCATTATCATTATCATTACCATTATCATCATCATCATCATCATCATCATCATCATCATCATCATCATCATCATCATCATCATTATCATTATCATTATCATTATCATTATCATTACCATTATCATCATCATCATCATCATCATCATCATCATCATCATCATCATCATCATCATCATCATCATCATCATCATCATCATCATCATCATCATTTTATCATTATTGTTATTATTATTATTATTATTATTATTATTATTATTATTATTATTATTATTATTATTATTATTATTATTATTATTGTCATTATTATCATTATTATTATTATTATTATTATTATTATTATTATTATTATTATTACTATTACTTTTGTATAGAAAATATGTATATTTGTTTATTATTTTTTATGATAGTTATTCTCATTCGTATTACTTAGTATTTATTGTTATTTTTATTCTTCTTATTATTTTTATTCATTTAATTTCTGATTATACGTTTTATTATATTTTAAAATTCTCATTGCTCTTATTATCATTATTTAGCATTCCAGTAAGGAAAAAAAGTACATATACCTGATATGATAATTTAAGGGGAAGTTAAATACTTATACAAATTCAGACAGCAATTTATTACCATTTTAGCACAAGTGTATTTACGTTGCTGCCTGAATTATTCAATTCTATCTGCATAACATGTATTACTTTTTTGCCTGTTTGTGGGGGGGGGGGGCAGTGTATCACCCCCTCCCCACCCCCTTCACCCTGGACGCACTCCAATTGTTATATGAATGTCAAAAAAAAAGAAAAGAAAAAAAAATCCAACTCGCATTTGAAAAAAAAATCATCTATAATTCCAAGGACAGGATTACTCGTTGGCTACCTGTAAGTGTTGATCCGAACAGTCATTACTTGAGCTCGAGTTAGTGTGAGCGAAGGTTACGACACTCATCCGGCGGAGGATGTCTCTGCGATAGGGACGAGATAGGGGCTCTTGTCACGCTTACGGACTTCTCAGTGTTATTTTAATTTTTTTTTATTGTATTTATTGCCTTCGTCTGTTTATTAGGTTGTTCCTTTATTAGGGTATTTGTTTATTATTTTTAATGGATTGATTGATTTATCTAATAATTTATATATATATATCTTTTATCTCTTCTTTACTCATTTTTTTTCCTCCGTCACGTAACTTACTCATTGCGCAAATCAACCCCCCAGCTATGTATCGCTCAACTTGCCTAATGTAACCTATATTACGTTCAGCCGCACGAAACAGCAATGTCGCTTTTCCCAAGTGCGTCTAACTCGGGCTCCCACCTTCCAGGCCCAGAAGAGGAGCTACGACGGCCCCGTGATTGGCGTGAAGGTGGCGATGGAGAACAAGAGGAACTTCACCGAGGACAAGCTTAGAGAATCTCAGAAGATCATCGGCCTCCAGTACGGCAGCAACAAGGGCGCCTCCCAGGCCGGCATGACGGCCTACGGGACCGGCAGGCAGATCATCCCCGGAGGTGAGTTAGCGGCAGACGCTACGGTTCTGTGGTATTGCCATCAGTTTTAATCTTTCATAGATATTCATAAAACTTCTTTCGTGCGAATAAAGTATTTAAATATTTTTTCTCATTAAAGCTGGTTA